AGAAAGACAATAACGGAGACATTTCAGGGGTGAGGGACAGCTGGCTAGTAATGAAAATAAATGCAATAGGATGGAATAGGCAATACAATTGAAAAGTGGGTGTTAGGGTTAATTTCCCTAGAATTACAGTTCTTTTAGAAATAAATTTTTATTGCAGTTCTTATAGATTCTTGTCCCTTTTCAATGATTAATTGACCCTTAAATTTTTTCAGTGAAGATTTCTGACATAATTTAGTGTCCTTATGGCTTCAAAGACTTCAAAGTAAGTTTTCTTCTTCCCTTTTTTAAAAAAAATTTGTAACTATGTGCATTGCTGGTGATAGGGAGAACATTATTTGTCCTTTTATAGCTGACATGGGATACAACAACGTTATTTTAGAAACAATAATCCTCTAGATCCACAGACCATGAAAACAGGACCTGCCACTATCTGCTATTGTGTTACCTACTAGTAAATCAACAGCAGACATCTTTGATTTGCAGTGCAATAAAGATTCATTTCTTTTTTTTCTGGTACCATGGATCAAACTCATGGCCTTGTGCTTGCCAGGCAGGTGTAGCACCACTGAGCTACATGCCTGGGCCTCATCAATGTTAAGTGATGTCAATTTTTAAAAATGTTGAAGACAACAGGGAGGAAATATATTGATTTCAGGGAAAATTTCTGGCAAAAAAATTGGAAGAAATCCTGACTCCCATTTTCTTCAATACACACACACACACACACACACACACACACACACACACTTCCAAAATAAAACTGAAATGAAAATATAAGATAGCTGTAAAGGGAAAAGGAGTCACAAAGAACAATATACTACCTATGGCAATGATTTTCACCCTTTTTGAATTAGTTCCCCTGAAGAGAGGAAAAGACCTTACCATTTTTATTTTACTCATTCTCATTTTTCAATTGGATTAGGAGAGGCAACTTAATAATAGACACTGCTGAACAAATGTAAGGATATTATGCTTCCATCTACTTTAATATTTGAGTTATACACAATTATAATTTAAAACCCCCGTGTCTTAACATATAATTAGTGGGTAATAATGGATCCCAAGTAAGCTTGATCCATTTGCATGTAACATACTGTTAAGAGTAACTGAGCAACATACAACAAACTAAATTAAAAATGACAAAGAGCCAATAATGTATATTGAAATAATGTATTGAAAAGCAAGTAGAACAGAAAACTAAGGCTACTCAACCCTGGTGATACCATGATAAAGTGTTTTTCCAGAAAGTTAAGGAAATTTATAGTTTACGAGAACAGATTTTTTAATTCACTTCTTCATTCTTTCACACTGAGGTATGACCCTAGCTTTCTGTTTTTGATAAGGAAAAACAACTAAGAAGAAAAAAAAAGTTCTCTTTATCCTTTGTACATCTAAGGAAACTTAACCATGCTTCAAATATTGACAAAGATGAAAGCCTTATCACTTAGTACATAAGGTAAAAAGTTCTGTAATCCAGTGATAACCCCAGTAGTTTTACACAGAGGATCAGAGGTGACATCAACACTGCCACTCCTGCCACCCTTCCCTTCTTTTGTTCCCCATCTGCCTTAGGAGCGACTTACATATACTGCAACTTAAATGAGTTTTTCATTCTTTCCAATTTGTGGCTCCTGATTATGACTGTTTTATCTCCAGACATAGGAAATGAGTTAGGAAGGGGCAATTTGCTATGTATCAGACTTGGGCAGAGTAAGCAAATGTGGAGCATAGACATTTGTTTATTATAATAAAACCACAAGGTATGAACGTGCCTTGCCATTTTTGAATCACTAAAAAAGTTTTAATATCTGGTCTTGGTTTATTGTTAGAAAGTTATGTAACAATTTTAAAATTATGAAATAAGAAACTCATATATTATTAAATTTAGGAGGAAAAGCCATGAAATTGGTTAGATACCCATATACAGTAACTTTTTTCTCTAGACACTTTCTACTTATTGAAAATGAGAATTATAAGATACAGCTGGGCACAGAATTGACAAACTAGAAATGGTAGAACACTTTTGTGTTGTATGAATTTCATTTAAGTAAAGAAAAAGTTAAATATGTGAGTCGAGCAATAAAATAATATAAACTACACCTTTGCCTTCTTTATCCCATTAATTTATATAAAATTGGGAGAACAAATCATCTGTACTAAGACTCGGTTAGATGTTTCCTTTTATAAGCTTGAATTAATCTTTGGAGAATTATGGATAATTGTTTGCTTTCTCCTATTAAAATTACTTCAGGTCTCCAAGTAAAATTACATAGGGCTATGTTTGAATACATTTTCCATTTCTATGAAAACACATTATAGAAACAGTGACTTAAAAAAACCTATTTATTCCCTCATAGTTCTATTAAGTTAGAAGCCCTATTATGTGCCCAACTAGTTTCTTTATTCAAGCTCTCACAAGCCTAAAATCAAGGTATCCCTTCTATAGTTCTGCCCTTCTCTCAAGGTCATGTGGTTGTTAGTAGAATTAAGAATTATGTACAACTGAGGGCCTGCTTTCTTGCTGGCTATCAAGTCAAGCTATTCTTGGTTCCTAGAGGCCATGTGAATTTTCCTGACACATAGTTCTCCCCACATGTGACTTTAGTTTTTCAAGGCCAAGAAGAGAGAGTCTCTGCTGGTGCTTTGAATTTCTCTGATTTCTCCTTGACCGTGACTTCTAGATTTTCTTTTAGAGTTCACGCCACTACAACAGGCCCATCTAGAATAATCTCCCTTTAAAATTCAATTGATTAACACAGGTGCTGATAATTCAGGAGTAAACAAAGTTGGGCTTAATTCTGATGGAGGTGATAGTTTGCAGTGGTCGTGTGTCTGTATTAGCCGACTTGTGAAGGAAATCTACAGGTTGGTGTGATAGACTAACTAGGTAAATGTGAACTTTAAAGTGAGTATATTCTATGTTAGCTAAGAAGAAAGAAAATGCTTTTCTTTTAAACTGCTTTATAGTTTAAATTTATATACTGGCTTGCAGTGCAAGTCTATGTCATAGGAAAAGTCTACCTCAAGCTGGATTATTCAAAAATGTATATGGTTTACATTACAGAATCCACTATTTTACACAGTAAGACTGGGATTAAAATAAACCATATGAGCATACAAATAGCCATGTGGAGGTTCTTCATTTTCTTTGTGCCCATCATTCGCTCTCCTCTACCCAGATTATAAATAATTCATTAAATCCTAAAAAGTCCACATCCCAGAAATGTTTCTTAATTTGATCCCTACTCATTATCCCCAGCATGTCTCAATTTTTGCTTTTAAGGTCTCTCCATTGACCCTTTTAACAATCTTTACTAGTCTCCCTGCTAACAACCTATTCCTACTTCATTTCATCTTCACAGCTGCCGTATTATTTTCCTGAAATCTGAGCAAAGTCTTGTCCTCATGGAGTTTATATTCTAGTAGAACGGACTGAACACATACATACACAATCAGGCCAAGTTTGGTTTAATGTCTACTGCAAAGAGCTAGAAAACACATGATAAAAACTTTAGGTACTCTCAGTAAAAGGGAATTGTAAAAGATGCTACAGAACAGGTCTCATGTTATATGATTTAGGGGAAGGATCAAAGCTTTGCTCCGGGATTGAATGCTGTCAAAGGGGAGAGATAATTTTGTAACTGGATATTTTAACATTTATTATCTATAAAGCAGGAAGAATAGAGATAAAGGATAAGGTTCAAGAAAGTATGGTCCTATACAATAGTCAAAATGTGTTTGTAAGTTCTTGTAAGTCTTCAGTCATGATTATGGAGGGGTCTTGTTTTCATCTTGTCTATTATGGTCACTGAGTGGCTGTACCTGATGTTTATGTTTTCTGAGATTATTTATGTTCAACGGAACACTGACTTAGTTGATGATGCCAAGCCAGTTGTCAGTATCAAGGCCTAGCTAACAGTACCAGTTTAGCTCCTGGCTGTCCAAGTCTGTTTTATTCTTTCCAGTAACAAACATATCAGGTGCTACAACTGTCTCATACTTGCAATTTATAACTCTAACTCATGACTGTTTCTTGGATATTTATCAGTATTACTACTTAGGGTAATGAGTTAAAAAAACTCATTACAGTTTTGGAGATAACAACAGCATCTTAATCACTGATAAACTATACAAGACTTTCTGCTATATATTGTGTTAAAGAAAGAAAAAGGGGGAGTGACTATCCTAGACCTCAAGAAATTTGCAATTTTTCTGGGGCGTAGTAGGGGCATGAAGGTAGGTGGTGAGAACAGATATCAGAATCTTTTTTTTTTTTTGGTACCAGGGAACGAACTTGGGACCTTGCACTTGCAAGGCAGGCACCAGAACCACTAAACTAAATCCCTGGTCCCAGAATCTTTTATCCTTAACACAACTGTCATTTTTTAGAACGGGGCACAGAAATCAGTTGACAGACCAAGGACAACCTGCTCAGGACTGAATGGCTTAGAAACTGTATCAAAAGTGTCAGTCATTCACCTCACTCAACTCTGAAAACAATTAGTTTTAGATAAATTGTATGCATAGTCCTGATGAGTCTGTATACAGGTAGTCTGTACAGGAATCACATACAAACCTTGGGAAAATAAGGTAGATTCCAGGACCTCAACTCCAAAGAGTCTGATTCAGCACACATTTCCCAGATTCATTTGTATTATTTTTTCTTTTATTGTTAAGTAGTATTTCACTGGATGAATATACCAATTTGTTCATGTACTCTCCTACTGATGGACATCTGGGTTGTTTGCAATTTTTTGGTGACCATACATAAATTCGCTATGAGCATTTTTGTACAAAGTATTTTTGAGGATATGTTTTTATTCCTCTTGGATAAATACCAAATGTGAGATTGCTAGGTCATACAGTAGATATGTTTGACTTGTATGAAACTGATAGGCACACAATTTTGACATAAATAAAGTTTTAGAATTAATCAAAGTGCAGCCTAGAAGAGATTACGAAGGATTGCTATAAGGTCTTAAGCAAACTCTGCCACTCACCAATGGAGCTCTGGGGCCCTGTAAGAGCCTCTTACATGCAGGCCGTGGGATGAAAGCTGTGTAGATACCTGTAGATAAATGTAGTTTGGTAGTGAATAATGGTTATGTGAAACATTTCAACATATTTTTTTGCCTCTAAATTTCTTGGAATTTTATTTAATTATGAATAAGTTCAGTAAGGGGAATTCCTGAATAGGACAGACTTAAGATCAAAATCATTTTGGACAAAGGCCAGTATAGCAAAGGTTTGATGGCATGTTTGGGTGAAGGCTGTTTGAGGCTGGCGATTGTAGTAGGAAAATTGTCTTGGCTCAAAAAGTGGTCTCTAAGCTGATGGGCCCTGAATATTTCACAATACTGTCTTCTCAATCAGTGCTCTCAGGTTATCCTTAGGTTCTAAAAACACCTGCCACCCATCAGCAGGTAACCAGACTTCACTTGATGGCAGGTAGAAAACATGAGAAAATAACGGGAACTTTTTTTCCCCCACCGGAAACATCCAGGTATCTGTCCCCATTCTTTATCCTTTCCTCTTTCTCTCCAAGGACAATGAAGGAGACATTGCCCTAAAGCAGTCTATTTATCTTCTCTTACTTTATCTACCTGTGTAATGGTCTGCTAAGGTTTGAAAAGCCTCTCCAAAATTCACGTTAAAATTTAACTGCCATTTTAGTATTATTAAGTGCTGGCTGGTGCCTTTAAGAAAAGTGCACAAGACTTGAACACTCCACCTTTATATGCGGATTACTACTGGTATCTTGGGAGTTCTTGATTTAAAAAAAAAAAATGAAGACCAATCTTCCTTCTTTGTGTCTCTTGAATGCTCTCTTATCCCTTCCACACTGTAATAAAACAGCTGGACAATACTGTTGGACTACTCAGCCTCTAAAATTGTGGGCCAAATAAAATTGTTTACAATTTATCCAGTCTGTGGTATTTTGTTATAGCAGTACAAGATGGACTAAGACCAATATTGGCACATTCCCATCAATATCCAAGCTTCCCCTAATAGCTCCATTCTGAAAGCTAATTCCAACACACCACGAAGCGCTCTGGTTACCGCCCCTATCTCTGTAGCTCCATTGTAGTTAAAACTATAACATAATGGCCGAATTCCTCTTTCTCATCTGGGCCATCAAGGTTTGTCACACAGGCACTGCACGGGTAAGGCTGATGTATATAATGGATAGACAATCCCCAGGTGCAAATGGTAGTCACCGAAAGCTTGTAGCCTGCGACTCACTGGGTTGAGAAACGGTCTCTCCGCCGTATACAGGTATTTTGCTATATTTTCATTTGGAAATAGTTGTGGAAAGGCCGTAGTATGCAACAAGTATGAAAACAAGTGAGGAGCACAGTGGCACCGCACAACCAACTGGCCTCTCCCGTGATGACGGGCGCTGTCACCCAAAGACAGCGCATCTGCCACTCCTGCCAGAGGGCCTTCCGGTGGAACCCAGTTTGCGGTTCCGATGAAGCCTGTTTCCGAGTTGGGGGCGAGGATGGAGTGGAAGGTGAGGAGAAGAGCCCAGCGGCTCCCGGCCAATGGCAGCTGTTGAACTTACACCTCAAAACGTCAGCGCGGCTGTGGAAACGGATGTCACACAGCTGGCTCGGAAGTGTCTCCTCCCGCTTCAGAAGCGGGGCGCGCGCAACGGTCTGAGAAACCTGGGGCAACGAGAGGGAGGGGCGTGCGCTACACCCCGAGAGCTCCGCACCCTCGCCGGCCACCTCCCAGCCAGCAGGGCCAGTCTGGCCTCGGCCTCAGGGGAGCAGCTGAGCGCCCGCGTCCACGCCCCGAGCGCGCCGCCGCGACCAGCTCCGCCCCCTCCGGAACGGGCCGCGCGCTCCTGCGGCTCTGAGCTGTGTCTCGGGCGCGCGCGCCGGCGACGGCTGCGGAGCCGCAGTTAAAATGGTCCGAGCAGGACCCAGCGTCGCCCCCGCCGCGACGCTGGCTGACTGACTGAGGCGGCTGGCCGGTTCCGGACTGGTCGCCTAGCCGGCAGGCTCGTTCGCTTTCTCCCTTGCGTCCCCAAAGCTCGCGCTCATTATTCTCCCGGCTTCCCTGGGCAAAGCATGTAGCCCCCGTCGGGCGCCCGGGCTCCCACCCCGCCGTCGCGTGTGTGCTCAGGGCCGGCGACCCCGCTGCGGGCCCGAGGCCCAGCCGCGAGCGGCCTCCCGGGCCTCCCTCCCCGTCCTGTCCCGTCCCCTTCCGCGGGGCCTTCTATATGGGCCACCTTCTCTCGAAGGAGCCGCGTAATCGTCCAAGCCAGAAGAGGCCTCGCTGTTGCAGCTGGTGTCGCCGCCGGCGCCCTCTCCTCAAGCTGCCCCGCCGGACGCCAGCCAAGGCGACCCCCCAGCCGGCAGCGCCCCGGAGCCGGGACTGCTTCTTCCGCGGACCCTGCATGCTCTGCTTCATCGTGCACAGCCCCGGCGCGCCCGCCCCCGCCGGCCCAGAGGAGGAGCCGCCGCTCTCGCCGCCGCCGCGGGACGGGGCCTACGCCGCCGCCGCCGCCGCCGCCGCCTCCTCCTCCTCTCAGCACCTGGCGCGACGCTACGCGGCCCTGGCCGCGGAGGACTGCGCCACCGCCGCCCGCCGGTTTCTGTTGTCCTCGGCCGCCGCCGCTGCCGCCGCTGCCGCCTCCGCTTCGTCGCCCGCCTCCTGCTGCAGAGAGCTGGGGCTGGCCGCGGCCGCTGCCTGGGAGCAGCAGGGCCGGGGCCTCTTCCTGGCCAGCGTGGGGCCCGTGCGCTTCCTGGGGCCGCCCGCCGCCGTGCAGCTCTTCCGGGGGCCGCCGCCGCCGCCGCCGGCCGAGCCCCCCGCGGGCCCCGATATGGTGTGCAAGCGGAAGGGGGCCGGGGTCCCCGCCTGCACCCCTTGCAAGCAGCCCCGCTGTGGCGGCGGGGGCTGCGGCGGCGGGAGCGGCGGCGGGGGCGGGCCTGCGGGGGGAGGCGCCTCTCCGCCGCGGCCCCCCGACGCCGGCTGCTGCCAGGCCCCGGAGCAGCCCGCGCCGCAGCCGCTGTGCTCCCCGCCCTCGTCCCCACCTTCCGAGAGCGCCTCCATCGAGGCCCGCGGGGACGCGGTCCGAGCCGGGGGCACCGCCCCCTCGTCCGCCAAGCAGCAGCCTGAATGCGGCGACACGAACGGTCAGGAGCCCCCCGAAAACCCTTGCGACTGTCACAGGGAGCCGCCCCCCGAAACCCCAAACATCAACCAGCTACCGCCGTCCATCCTGCTTAAGGTGGGTCTGGGCGAGAGGCGCAGGGAGGCTCCCTTTTCCCTAACCCAGGCCCCCGCCTCCGAGATTTTCTCTCTCCTCCCCTTCTGCGCAGGGGAGGGGGTCTCTGACCGCCGGGGAACGTCCGAAGGGGAGACTGCCAAGCCAGGAGTGCTTGTGATCATGGCCTAGTTAGAAGTAGAAAAACTTGGGAGTCTACCTAATGCCTTTTCATAGTTTAAGTCGTTACCTACAATTCAGGGTTCATCTGTCATTAGATTCCTAACCCATTGATTTATAAACTATTTGTAGGTTTTCTGTGAAATATATATACACACATACATTTGTAGAGATAGAGAGAGAGAGTAACTTCTGCGATGTATATTTGGTGAGTAATGGCTTTACATATTATTTTTGGAAAGTCTTCCAACAGCACTTTCAGGTTGGATAGCTGCTGGTTGATAATAGTTAACTTTCACTGAGTGTTTACCGTGATCAGCTTTATATACATATCTCCCAGTTCATGCTGGGAGACAAATAGTGTTCATCCTTATTTTATACAAGGAAGAAACTGATTTTTCAGTGCTTTGGGCCAGAAAGCATATAGTGAGTCAGGCAGAAGGGGTCTTTGCTCCTGTGAAGTTAACAGTCTAGTGGTGCTTGAAGCTGTTGAATGATTTGTACATGGTCATGCAGATAAAGGGCAGATCTAAGTTTTGAACTAGGGCATTTAAACCAGCTTGAGGTAAAAACCCCATTTGTTTATGCTATGTTATATCGCTTTCCTATGTTTTTACCCTTACATAAAAGCAGATTACCAGGATAGCAGTATTTTTGAGGGAGAGAGGTGAGTGAAGAAGAGTGCCCTGTAGGAACTTTGTGTCACTTTAGATCACTAATTTTGCAGTTTTGTTAATGCTACTGATGATTTTAAATACTGTTTTTTCTCTTCTTTTCACCCTCATCTCTTCCTTTCTGGAGCTTTCTAAATCTATAAACCTATTTATATTGATATTTAAGATTAGCCAGAAATAAACTTGTTAAGAACTTAGATACTTTTATTGTTATCGAAGTAACTTCCTTGAATTACAATTGCCTGACACCAATATACTTTTTTGATTAACTTTTTGCACATTTATAATTCTGTGTGTTTGCATCTTTTTTACAGTGATATGAATGTTCTTGTGACTAATACAGCGAAACAGTGGAAAGCGTATATTTCCAGTGTCAAAATGCAGTGATTTAACTGTTATGGAGGTGTATCTGTTGAAAGAGTAATTGCTTACTCTGTGTAAAGTGTGTTTTAGGGCAGAGGGAACTTTAAATTCTTAAAATCACTGAATGACATGGACGAATAAAATAATAGTTATTTGGTGTAGAGTTTTCACTACAGAATTTTTTTTTGTACTGGGGATCGAACTCAGGACCTTGCGCTTGCAAGGCAGGTGGCAGCACCACTAAGCTAAATCCCTGGCCAGTACTGAATTCTTATTGGGCAAACAAGACTGTTTAAAAACAAACCAAATAAAAACCAGGTACTTCTTTCAACCTAAGCCACTGCTTACGTAGAGAACATTTTAATGTCAAAAAAGGGACATGATCTCATAATAAAGAGAAACTCTGTAGAATAAATTTATTCTATTTACTACATTGTTCTTTTTTTGCATTTTTGTTGTGGATTGTTGCAAACCTGGTCTATGGAACACATTTAGTAATTGCCCATGGACTTGCACTGTTATGTTGGATTATTGGGCATATTATGTAGATTCCCATTCCACCTTGAATAAACATTCTTTAAATCTCATGATGCTAGTGGTATTCAGTATGAAGTGAGTTGAATTGTCTGAGTTGAAATAGAGACTTGTCAAATGTCTGCCAACCCAAGTAGAACTTTTGGAAGGGAGAGGTGCTGTGCCTAGATATCTTATTCATTGCTGTATAGTATTATTCAGTAAATATTAATGAATGAATGAATAAGTCAGGTATTCAGAATCTGGGTGACTGTGCCACGTCATGAAAAGAAGATTCTTGAATGAGGTACTGCTCATTAAGCCACACAAGAGCCATGTGATGGTGAAAATCTTCCGACTGCTTTTGTTTAGGATTGTTGGTGTTTGGCTTGGAGAAGACAAGACTTAGGGAGCTTTGTCAATTTTTTCCCCGCTATTAGCAGGGTTGGTGCATACAGAAGCACAGATCCCTCACCCACATTGGAAAATGTTCTTAGAAAGTATGCTTCACTACCCCAGATAATGGTTCAGTAGCCTTCATAATTGTACTGGTTCTTATGAATTAGCAAATTGCTATCACTGTTAAAAAATGAGGGGCCAGAGGAAGAACTTGTGAGAGAAATATGAGGAAATGTGATTGAAAGGGTGATTTAGGGGAAAGCTGCCATTTACTTACTTAATTTTTTCCGGATATGATAAAACAGAAAAACTAAACTCTACTGGCTTTGTAAGCTAATTTTGGTTTAATATCATCAGGGTTGCTTTTCTTTTCTTTT